GTATAGCTGAGAAGAGAAAACAAAAACCCAACTAATGTACTGAACCTCAGTGGTCACAACAGGCATTTTTCAAACTTGGATGTTCTGCACAGAATTGTTTACCTCCCTTCTCTGCAGGGGGTTGGTTCAGACCTCATGCCTCACATGTGCTTATCTTATGTGGGGCCAGCCAGAAAGGGACAGACCCAGTGATGCTGATCAGGGAGGGTTCTGCCTAAGGTTTGCTTTGGTGATCACCTGGTGAGCCTTGTGGGAGCCTCTCCCCGAACCACCTGTGCATTTAACAGACACTTATTGAGCACCAGCTGTGTACCAGGTATCATTCTAGGCACTGGAGGTGCAGGTGTGAACCAGAAAGAGAAGGTTCTACATTCTGGTGGTGGACCACAGACAGCTAACATGTCATAAGCAAGCGTATTTCAGAGAGATCACGCTATGAGAAAACAGAGCAGGGTGTTGGGGGACAGTGACTGGCATCATGGAGCTTTGACTCGTATCCTTATTTTTATCTGTTAGGTGAGGGAGAGAGAGCGAGAGAGAGAGAGAGAGAGAGAGAGAGAGAGAATACCTTTGAATGCATGTCAGACTGGAGAGGATTGTCCATGCAGGTCCCGCTGAGAGTGGCTCTGGGGGAAGGCTTGGTGAATCCAGATTTTCAGGAATGTCAGAGAGGCAGCAAGTCAAAACTTTTATACGTACTCATTTTTTTTCATGTCGGCAGTGGGTAATCCTCTAACCCTACTCAGCAGTGCTGTGGCCAAAAGCAGACGTGTCCGCAGGAGGGCTGGTTCCCGGGGGCCGGGCCGTCTCTTCTGTCCAGGCTGGTGTCAGCTGCGGACCGGGTCCCTCTCTGTACACAGGAGGGTCCTGGCTGTCACCATGACACCCTTCTGGGTGTGCAGGAAAACACAGCTGAATGTTAAATAAACGCCCGCTAATTACCCTGAGGATATTTATTGAGGTTCAAAATGGAGTAGATGGTGATGGCGGGCCATTCATTCCCTGAGTTTGGGAACTTGCGGGAAAGAGTAGGAGTGAGGGAAGGGGACAAGGGCCGAGCTTGGAACCTGTTGAATCCGAGGTGTGTGTGTGTGTGTGTGTGTGTGTGTGTGTGTGTGTGTGTGTCGCTCAGGGGGGAGACCCGCCCGGGCCCCCCCCCCCCGCCCCGGCCAGCCCCAACAGTTGTAGCAGACACGTGGAAGGCACTGAGGAACATCCCCTCAACACGTCTGATTTCTGCACACAGAGATTGGCACATTCCATACCCACATCCAGGGTCCTCGGTTAAGCTTGTGCCACTGTGTCTCTTTGCTTTGCTGCCTCAGCTCAGGGCAGCTGCGACCAGGTGGAGGGAAGTTGACATCGCTGGGGAGACCCTCAACCAAAGGAGGACAAGAGGCAGAGGGCCAATGGTTCGGCCTCCCCATTCCTATTCCCCGGTGGGACGGTTCCCAGGCATGTTCTACAGGGACCTCAGAGCGTCCCCAGGGAGACTGAGCACCAGCTGCCCATGGCAGTCACCTGCTCTGAGCAGACACTTCACTCAGCGGTCCTCCTCAGCCTCCACGCCTTCACTCCTGCTTTCTCAAATATACCTCCCAACATCTTGCGTGTGAGTCCTTTGGGGGGACCCAGATCAGGAAGGATGACCTACAGGCTCCAAAGGGGACACATCACGTCACTGGCTCTGATCAGGGCAGCAGCAGATTTCCCAGGAAGAATGGGAAGCACGAGGACAGAGAACAACACCCTAACGCTTGAAGGGCAGGCAGAGGGAGAAGAGGGGGTTTCCTTGAAAACACACAAAGGAACAAGTCACTTAAAGGCAAACACCAATGGCCAACTCCTTAGGAGAAAACCCTCATCAGCCTTCTCTTCTTCCTTCTTTCTGGCCCCTTATCCTCTATGGGCTGTGAGGTCGTAGCAGTTTTCGCATCCCTGGCACAGTCTCCTCTGGGGTATTTTCTTCTCAGACCCTATTGGTTTGCAGCTCATTGAGACTGTAGTGAGCACAGTATGTGTGGTGTGAAACCCACCTGCAAGGCCACCCCGACCAGTGAGTGTCCCTGACTGATGTCCAGTCCAAGTGACCTCTCCTTCCTGTCAGTTTCTATCTTAATCAGTTCTCACCACAACAGTGCTGCGTAACAAACGTCCCTGAAACTTGGCAACGTATAAAAACCAGCATTTGTCTCTTGCCCCTGTATCTGCAGGTTCGTGGGGGCAGCTCTTTTCCACGCATTTCAGGCCGTGATGGCAATAGCTAACTGAGACCTGTTCTTCCTGGGAAAGGGCTGGCTACTCCCAGAGGGTGAGCAGAAATGTGCAGTGTTTCTGAAGGCCCTGACTCTGAATTCACAAAGTGTTGCTTCCACTCATACCTTATTGGACAAAGCAGGGCACACGCCAAGCCCCTGCTGTCAGAGTGTGAGGAAGCACATTCTTCTCATGAGGAGTGTGCATGCATGTGGGTAAACACATATTTGCTGAACATTAACCTAATGGGCCACAGGTCTGCAATGCACACGATCTAGCCTTCCTTGTGGAGTCCACGACTTTCTACTCTCCATGCACGTCAGTTGCACACATGCTCTATCTCAACCACACTGTGAGTGTCTTCGGGGCACAATCCATATGTAACCACCCTCAGAACCTCCCCACCAATCAATGTAGAAAAGGATATGGCACACGATAATATGTGGTCAGAGTCCGGGAATACTTGGAAGGTAGGGCAAATGAGATTCGCTGATAGATTGGATGTGCATCATATAAGAGAATATGGGAGACTATGATGTTGTCTTTGACCCGAGCAATTGAGAAAATTGAGTTGTCCTATATAAGGATGGGGGAAATTGTGGGAGGGATGGATGTTGAGAAAATTGAAGGTCATTAATATCTATTTCATTGCTTCCAGAAGTGTGGGATGCTCAGTATTTATGGGTGGCAGAGGAGATGATACACAGACCCAACGCCAGTTAACGGTGAATCAAAGAGTTAGAAAGCTATTTATCTTTCAATTCTTTATTGACTCTTTTGATTAGTTAAAAAACAGTCGGAGTTTGGTGCTAGCACATCTTTAAGCACTTGCTGATCTCCCTTTTTAGAAAAGAGAGATTATGCCGCAGGCTTAGAGACTTGGGCCATTTATAATATCTAGCTAGATTTAATAACAGCATTGTCTTTGCACTGAATTTCTTTTTCTGGATAACTTCTCTCTACAGCTCATGGTGCGGGTTCATCTACAGTCTAGGTATACATTTCCTTTAAAAATGAATTCATGCATGATAAAAAGGGAATCAATTTACAAGAAATGTTTAGGTGAGTTTATTCCTCCATTTATTTGAGAAATATTTATCTAGTGTTGACTATTTACTGGACACTGTTTTGGGTGCTGAGGATACAGCAGTGAATTAAAACAGAGCCAGGTACAGACCTTCACGGAGCCAGCAGTCTGGTCGGGAAGGCAGAAAACAGACAAAGTAAATAGGTAAAGTAGGAAATATTTGGGGTGGTGACGAGTCCTACAGAGTAAAGAAAGCAGAGAGGGCAGATTGGAAGTGGGGCAGGGGTGAGGGTGCACTTTAAATAGGGTGGGCGGGGAAAGCCTCATGGAGAAGGTGGCCTTTGCAGAAAGGCCCAAGAGGGCCAGTCACGCCAGCGTCTGAGAAAGAGCACCCCCCGCAGAGGGGACAACAAGGACAGAGCTCTGAGGCCGTGGCACGGCTGGCCTGGCCAAAGAGGAGCACGGAGTCCAGTGTATTTGTGGAGTGGAGAGCGCAAGGCGAAGGGTAGAGAACAAACGATCAGAGAGGCGTTGAGGGGGCGGGTGCATGCAGGGTCCCGGGGGACACTGTTGGGGATTCAGCTTTTACTCTGAGTGAGATGGGGAGCCATCGAAGGACTTCCAGCAGGGGAGTCGCTTGATCCGACAGAGTTAACAGCGTCCCTGTGGTCATCGTGTTGGGAACAGACTCAGGGGAGCAGGGACAGTCACGGGGAGACCCGAGTTGGTGGGGCTGTTGCCGAATCTCAGTGACAGAAGATGCCGGCTTGGGTGGACGACAAGATGTGGTTGGACTCTGGGCGTATTTTGAAGGTCGAGCGAGCAGAATCTGCTGACCCGTTAGGTATGTGCTACGCAAGACCACGAGAAGAGGTGGTGATGCTGTTCTGGACCTGAGCGGTTGAGAAAATTGAGTTGAATTGGGGGAGTTTGGGAGGACATCAGGAGGTCCACTCGGGCGTGTTGGTTTTGAGGCGCCTGTTGGACGTCCAAATGGAGACATCAAGTAGACTCTCGGCTACTTGAGGTTGGAATTCATGGGAGGGTCCTAACCAGGGCTTATGCATGGGGATCATCAGCGCATAGGTGGTCTAGACGCATGGACACGAGACAGAGGAGGGCAGAGGACTCACGTGCCCCCTTCTTGCTGGCCCCCAGCTAAGCCCTGTGCTGGCAGCTGTTTGCTCTGCCGAAGTCTGGGCCCCAGGTGTCACGGGTGCAGACGGCACAAGGCTATTTTCCTCACGAGTCTTGGAAAAGACCTCAGTTTCCTGCAGCCCCGGAAGGGCCAAAGAAAATTTGCTTTGAGAAGCTGTCATTTTGCCATAATTGCCCTGCATACCAAGCTTTACACGTTAAGCTTCTCAAATTGATCTGTCCTGTCATTTTGACTTCCTAAACCTTCCCTTCTTCTTTACACGGTTAGTATTTCCACTGGGAAGCAGTTGTCTGAAGCCTGAACTGTATGTGTCAGAACATCCTGTTAGGGTTTTCTGAGGTTTCTGATGTTGGGCAATTCAGGGAAGATTCCTTCCTGTCATTACGGTATCACCGCGGACCGGGTCGTGGCTGCTTCGGGTCTCGGGGCCAAAAACAGACGCCTAGGATGTGTAATGGTTTTTTGCTACAGGATGTGAAACTGGCTCAGCCTGAAATTGTGAGGACAATTTAAAGTAATGATGGGAACTACCGTCAGATGAACACTTGTATTTTCCAGGCTCTGTGTTGTAGCGGGATGGTGTTGGTGCCTTGCCAAGAACCTTTCACCGTACAACCCCCTTCCAGCTGCTGTGGGTGCCGGCTGCTAACAGCTCACAGCTGCCCCCTTGGCTGAATGGGAGCCACTCCACCTGGCTGAGTGGGAGACTCTTCACCTGGATGAATGGGAGAAACTCCACCTGGATGAATGGGAGAAACTCCACCTGGATGAATGGGAGAAACTCCGCCTGGCCAAACAGAAGCCACCTCATCTGGCCAAATCAGAGCATCTCACCTGCTCCTTGAGCAGCCACTGACTGACTGACCCAGGCTGGCCCTCCCTCCTCAATCTGGGATGAGCTCTGTGGCTCATGTTTTGCTCCAGAGCTCCCTGTGGGATCAGCCCAGAGGCAGTCTTGGGTTGAGACCATGAGCTTGCTTTTCTTTCCACCCTCGCTCTATTCTGCCCTTCCCTCTCTCCCCTTCTCTGGACAGCTGTCCGCATCTCAGGCTCTACTTCTGGGGAATTCAGCCTAAGACAAGTATCCGACATATTTTATATTATCAACAACCTCGGAACTTCTCAACAACACGCTGACAGGGAATTACGATTTCTTGTCTGCAGACGTGGACGTGAAGGCTCAGAGAGGTTAATAGGCAGCCGAGGGTCACGTAGCTGGACAGGTACAAGAGCCAGGCGTCAAATCCAGCATTTGCTCAAAGCTCATGCTCCTAACAGTTATGGTCTAACACCTTTCCATAGGGTCAATGTCAGATATTTTGAACCTTAAATATTTGTTTTCTTCTTTTCTCTTCTTCGGGAGTCAAATGTGGGTTTCTTTTTTTTTTTTTTTTAATTTTTTGAACGTTTATTCATTTTTTGAGAGACAGAGCATGAGTGGAGGAGGAACAGAGAGAGAGAGAGAGAGACAGACAGAATCTGAAGCAGCCTCCAGGCTCTGAGCCCTCAGCACAGAGCCCGACGTGGAGCTCGAACTCACAGACTGTGAGATCATGACCTGAGCTGAAGTCGGATGCCCAACCGACTGAGGCCCCCAGGCGCCCTCAAATGTGGGTTTCTTTAAGCAGTGTCACCCGGAGGGCCAGGAACCAGCTGTTTGTGGTGACGGTGGGCGAGGGGATAATAGCTGGGCTCTTGGGAAGGCAGAGAAAGGTGACCGACCAACGAAGGCAGCTAGGTGGCATTTACTCATTTACTCCGGCTTTGGAATATAGTCAGAGCTTCCCAGCTGTTTGTAAGTCACTCAATACTTACCAGCTTTCCAAGACGTGGCTACGGGGAAGGGCTTGATCAACTGCAAATTGCTGCTGAAAGAAGGAAATTATCTGTTAGCTTTTCTGGGCGAGGAGAGGGTCCGGGTTCCCTCGCGTAATCCCCAAAGGGTACACCGAGTGCTTCTGCTGCCTGGTGGGTCAGCCTGGGTTTCAAAATGCAATGCAGCACTAAACCTGTCAAGGTGAGATCCGACAAGTTTGAAAGTAAGGCAAACAGTTAGGTTCAAAACGTTCCTGACTCGCCTGGTGGACGTGAGAGGGTTGGAGAAAAGATGATTTGTGCGTAAGAGGATTTAAGATTTTTTTCTATGGAGCGCCAAGTCAGTATCAGGCAATGATGATGACGTCATTGTGCTCCTAAGAATGTAACTATGATTCTCACTTGCCTTTGGAGAAATAGAGAACGCACGGGCTCATTCTACTCTACGTTGGTGAGATTGCAGTTGGAGAATAAAACGACAATGACGGGAGAGCTTCTGTGGTTTTTTAATTGAGATCAAGCCGACACCCATTATGTGGATTTCGGGTGCCCCACGTAACGGTTCGATATTTGTGTACATCGCAAAGTAGTCACCACAAAAAATCTAATTAACACATAGTCACAGATTTTTTTTTTTTTTTTTAATTTTAGAGAGAAAGAGCAGGGGAGAGGGGCAGAGGGAAAGAAAGAGAGAGGATCCTGGCTCAGGGCTCGATCTCACAACCCTGGGATCATGACCTGAGCTGTAATCATTGGACGCTCAGCCGACTGAGTCACCGAGGCGCCCCCAGCATTTTTTTTCTCGTGATGAGAACTTTTAAGATCTACTCTCTTAGCAACTTTCATTTTTTTAAAATAGTTATTTATTTTTGAGAGACAGAGTGAGACAAAGTGAGACTTGGGGGAGGGGCAGAGAAAGAGGGAGACACAGGATTGGAAACAGGCTCCAGGCTCTGAGCTGTCAGCAATGAGCCCGACGCGGGGCTCGAACCCACAGACTGTGAGATCATGACCTGAGCCGAAGTCGGACGCTCAACCGACTGAGCCCCCCAGGCGCCCCTCTTAGCAACTTTCAAACATGCAATCCAGTAGATTAACAGGAATCACTGTGCTGTACATTACATCCCAGGACTTATTTATTTTATAACTGAAAGTTGGTACCTTTTGACCCCCATCACTCATTTTGCTCACCCCCTGCCTCTGGCAACCATCCATCCATCAATCTGTTTGTTCTCTGCGACTATGAGCTTTTTTCTTTCTTTCTTACTTTTTCTTTCTTTCTTTCTTTCTTTCTTTCTTTCTTTCTTTCTTTTTCTTTCTTCTTTCTTTCTTTCTTTCTTCTTTCTTTCTTTCTTTCTTTCTTTCTTTCTTTCTTTCTTTCTTTCTTTCTTTCTTTCTTTCTTTCTTTCAAGATTCTACGTATAATTGAGACCCTACAGTATTTGTTTTTCTCTGCCTGACTTATTCCACTTAGCATAATGCCCTCAAGGTCCATCCATGGTGTGGCAAATGGAAAGGTTTCATTTTTTTTTTTATGGCCAAATAATACTCCCTTGTATAAAGATACTGCCTTTTCTTTATTCTTTTTATCTGTTGGTGAACGGGGCTGCTGCATACAGATGAGAAGCACCATTTTCAAAGCGCTGCCCCAGGGAGGCACCCATACCTTCTGGCCCAACCAGAAGGTTCCCACCTCTCTGCCACTTTCTTTTAAAAAACATATGTTTATTTTTAAAGCATAAAATAAATATTTTTGATATAAAACTTTAGTTTTTTTGAAGTAGGTTTCATGCAATGCGGGGCTTGAACTCACAACCCTGAGATTAAGACCTGAGCTGAGATCGAGAGTCCGATGTCTGACCGACTGAGCCACCCAGGTGCCCCTCGTATAAAACATTCTAACAATTCATTAAAGCAACACATTGATGAATCTCCTGACCCTCATGTTGATGGGGAATGGCATTTAATATTTTATAATGTTATGCATTTTTCTATGAGTACGCCTGTATTTAATGTATATTTTAGGTGTACGATTTTAAACGTGAACACTCTCTTTTGATCTGTAATATGCTGTTTTCATTCAACATTTTCTCATGTCATTTTTTTTTTTTTTATCATTTTTTACTTTTTTTTTTTTTTTTTGCTAATGATGAATATCTTTTTCTACTTAGGATATACACACTTAGAGTTTCCCATGCAAGATAGGTTTTTATCTCTTGAAAAATATTCGGGTTTTGGAAACAGCGAAGAGTAATTTGGCACCAGATTTAGCATGATTCTTGTAAAAAACAATTTACTCGGCACTGAATGCTCCAGAACCCTTGTCGGCTTCTCTGGTTACAGAGGGGATCATCAGGCTCATCAAGAGTGTAATGTGCGTTGTTTGCGGCGGCCATAAGAGAGGGGCTAAAGTCCTGCCTGGGGTGGCTGGGGAGGAGCTGGAGAAGGCTTTGTAGAGGACATTTGATCTGAGCTCTAAGTAAATAGAAGTTGTCCGGGTGACAAACAAAAAGAAGGACGTTTCAAACGTAAGCACTAGAGCTCACAGAGGCAGAGGGGTATGAGAGAGTGAGGCCTGCCTCAGAACTGGCAAATCGTAGCTTGGGTCTGAAACAGAGGAGATTCTGCCGGTGAAGGAGGGAGGGTCCAGGCAGCCAGGACCAGATTGCACAGCCCATGCTGAGAGTCTGAACTCGGAGGGAGGAAGAGGGTGGAGTGTTAATTGAGGTCATGGGCCTTGGAGTCAGGCGGGACTCCCATCCATTGTCACCCTACCATTGTGACGCCTTCACAGCAGTGCCCTTGGGCCTGGCAGAGAGGACGGCAGAGGGTCCGCTGTGGCTCTCCTCTGGCTGCATGGGGTGAGGAGTCAGTGGGGTCCAGGGGACATGCCTGCCCAGAGCCCAGGCTCCCTTATTCTAGACCATGCCACCTGAGATGCCCATGCAAGCCTCCCCTAACCTACCCGGAGAGCCTGCATGAACCTCTTTGCCAAGGCCACCCCCCACCCCCACCCCGAGGATGCACCATGCTTCTGGTGTGCACATTCCCACTGCTGGGCAGAGCCCAAGGTGCCGTGGTTCTGGGGTGATACGGATGATGTGCAAGCTGGAGTATTCACACACGTGCATGACAGAAGCCCCTTGACGTATGAGATGCAGCCAGGGTAGAGAGAGAAGGGGTGTGGGTTTTGGGCTCAAGGCTTCCTCTTGCCTGGGGCCCTGTAAATGTCAAGGGAAGGTCTGTTATTCAAGTTACCTGCTTCTCAGTTTCCCTCTCCTCCGAGTGGAAACGAGATGTCATAGGGATTTGTGGGGACTAGACAGGACATCAGATGTCAAGTGCACCCAGCAGTACGCCCACCCAGCAGAAGTGCTCAACAGAGGGGCGCCTGGGTGGCTCAGTCAGTTAGGTGTCCGACTTCGGCTCAGGTCATGGTCTCACGGTTTGTGACTTCGAACCCCACATTGGGCTCACCGCCGTCAGACTGTCAGTGCAAAGCCTGCTTCGGATGGATCCTCTGTCCGCTTCTCTGCGCCCCTCCCCAACTTGCGCTCCCCCCAAAATAAGAAAAAATGTTAAAGAAAAAGAAGTGGTCGGTAGAGGCTCGCGGTAGGGAACAGGGTGCTCACAGAGGCTTGGCAGCTGGGGTGCCATGTTGGATGTGCAGACGCAGTAGGGAGATGGACGGAGGAGGAGGAACTAAAGACAGCAAGACCACTTAGCAACCTACCTGGTGGCACTACAGAGAGTTGACGGGGATCTGGCATCGTCTTGCCAATGGGGCTGAGGAGATCTGGCGCACGTTCAGGCCACTGGCAGTCCCTGGAGTCGGGAACATGCAGTGCCTTTCAGAAGCAGCATTAAAACCAGCCCTTCTTCCGTCTGACGCCCTGACTACCAGCACCACAGTGACCTGCGTGGTTTTGCTGAAATGCAGATCCCCAGGCACCAGCTGAGGCGTAACCAGTCAGGATCTCTGGGGGTTGGGACCCAGGAGTGCTCCTAAAGCATCTAAAGTTTGTGAATCACCCAGTGGATGAGGATGGCGGGTTCAAAATCTGGGACTGACATTCAAAAAAAGGGGATGTTACCTAGCTGGAAGGAAGGGGCCATATTACTTCCTGTTTACCGGGTGTTTTGGAGGAAATGCCTTTCCAGACATGGCTCCAGAGGAGAAACAGAATAAAAGAATAAGAAGGTGTTGGTGACAAAGTAGTTAGAAGCCCCTGCTTTGAAGGAGGCCGTGTGCGCGCGCGCGTGTGTGGACCTACGAGATTGCAAATCGATATCCCATTTCCCTTGGAGTTTACACAGCTGCCCACAGGCCGATTCTTGACTCCAGGATAAATAGGGCCATATCACTCGGCTGGAGAATAATGAATTTTCCAGATGGGCCCCACATCCTCACGACGGGCCTTTCGGGAAACCGCGTGTGGAAGAGAACCCGGTCTTCTGGTCCGAGAACGTGCTCCCATCTCCATGTCGCCTCCGGCCAGCTCCCCACGGCCCTCTGTGCCACGTGGGTGAGCCTGCCCTTTGGTGTGGAAATGTGAAATAATTGAGATAGATCCTCTGGAAGTCAGACCGGAGTTACTGCGCTTTGTGTCC